CATTCTTCTCCCGTAACGCAGACGGGTTCAGGACATAAAAGTAAAATCGTAGCTCAACCTGAAATACAGTCCTAAGGGGAAGGCACCGTATATACCCATAGCAATGATGTTAGCAGTAAGTAATTTATAGAAATACGGGGTACAATAGTCCTTGTGTAGAGAGCTAAAGAAACAGGACAGTGAGGTATATAGCAATAGTCGTGTCAACTCAAGGCATATATGTCTTAGGATTCCGTACTTGAACATTATAGATTAAGATTGGAGTGAGTATTGTTACACCTGTGTGTCCTGTAAGTACTCTGTACCTTATGAAAAAATATAGTTAGTTAGAATATGGTAAAGAGGTGAAAAAGAGAGAAAGAAGAGATGGGAATGAAATGAGCAAGGGAATGGAGGAAGAGTATGAGAAAAAATATCATAGTGGGGCGAGAGGGACGTAGGGGACGAATACAGATGAAGAGAGAGAGAGAGAGAGGTAGAGGGAGAGAGAGAGAAGAGAGAGAGAGAGAGAAAGAAAAAAAAAAAAAAAAAAAAGGGGGAAGAGGGGGGGGGGGGGGGGGGGGGGGGGGAGGCTGAATGGGGAAGGATGAGGTATATAACTAAATAGGCATAACCAAACCAGTCATATCAGTTAGCAGCTTCCAAGGCTGAGACAGATTCAATCATTACTTAGAAAATACAATTTCGTTAAAGTCCCGTAATGGAACTATTCCTGAAGTGAAACGTCTATAGGGGTTTCCGTGTCAACCAAATCTCCTCTCGCTCATTCCTTCATTAGACAATGAAAAGTATCGGTAGTTTGGAAATGATTCCAAACGTCCAACACGCCCAAGTCTTCCTGAATCTCTCGGGGTGTTCTTTTTGTCTTCTTGCCACTGAAATCAGCTCCTCCATCTCTGCGATCCTGATGATCCTAAGATTATCCACTCTCGCACGGTGGGAACGTATTCCCGATCGCCAATGGACCGAATACACTGTCACAGCAAGCGACCTACGATAAGTCCGCACAGAAAGTGAGGAATGATGAAGTAGATCATTGTGCTGGGGTAAAGTGGTAGTTACTTGAGTGATTATGTCCAAAACTTTTCTCCAGAAGGGTTGCAGCCGCGGGCAGTCCCACCAGTTTTGTAGAAGAGTACCTGTTGCCCGGGAACATCTCCAGCATAGATCTGAGGCTTTAGGATCAAATTTACTAACCCAAGACGGAACTCTGTACATCTGGAAAAATAATTTATAATTGCCTTCTTGTGTAGAGACACAAAGGAGCCTTTATGCATTATGGTCGTAAATGTGTGTCCCAGTCCTCTGGTGAGATTTGAAGTTGTAGGTCCACGTTGCCAGGCTGAACAGGTCTTCCTGCGAATGAGATGTGTTAGTACTTTCAAGATAGAATAGAGCTTAGATATAACATGCCGCTGGGGGATGTCCGTAAAGCAGAGCTTCTCAAATGCAGTAAGCGGTCTTGAATAGTCTTTTAGATGTGGGGAACGTAAGAAATGGTGTATTTGTCTATACATCCATGGTGTTAGTGTAATGGATGGCCACGTCTTTGCAATGTCTTCTGTAGATAAGAGGGCTAGAATCTTTGAAGAATTGACCCACTGAAGACTCTCAAAAACACCCATTGTTTAACCATTCATTGGGAAGATCAGTGAGCTGCTGTATCTCCTCCCCAGAGGGCCATGTAATCACTTTTAAAAAAGAGGAAAATGTATTTATAATTTTTTTTTATATTTATACAAAATGATGTGCCTTTCATTTCTATTTTAAACTGAATGGGTTTGTTTTACAAGGTGAGGATTTATAATCACTTTAATCTAGCCATGTATAAATAAAATAGTTACATATAAATATAATTACACACACAGTCAACTAGTTCCCCTTCTTTGTAATAAAATTTCCATCCCTATATATTTCCTATTTAATCAATAGATATGAAACAGTTTGGTTGCATCGGTGCCTACGAAAGAGATTATCAGCTTCCACAGGGATACTACAGGTATGACACATACATACTTACCAAGCTATATATAATAATAAACACAGCGCAAAAATGTAATCAAATAGATAAATAAATAACATCCATAACATTAAATGTTGCATGCTTGAGTGCTCCAATAAATAAAGCACACACTCAGAAGAAAAAGTCCAAAAAAAAAGAATATCCCTTAAGTCAGAAACGGTTATTTCTGGTGGAATGTGCTCACAGATATATCCAGGATACATTAGTGTGCCGGACCCTAGGAGGAGCCAACAGAACGTGACGTCACAGCCGCCTGGAGCCATGAGGAGGCCATCTTTATTAAGGGGTTAGTGTTACTCTTCATTACTTCAGAGATTTTGGAGTGTGTACTACCCTGTTTTTATGTGCATTCTTTGAATAAAGTCTTTACAAATTACTACACTGTGGGCACCTTTTTTGGCTCCTATTGGAGCTAATTAATTTCCAGGACACCCTATTGCAATCCACTACCACCAGAGGGAGGGAGCCCTGTACCCAGGCTGTACACCCATCTAACCTTAAGGGGACCTCTGAATCTAGCAGTTTTATTATACATCACCAAGACAAGATTACCTACCTTTAGATGGAAGCTCACCTACTCCGCCTTCCTAAGTGACCCGGGTGGATTCTGATTACATGCGCAATACTTTTGCACGTCCGGTGAGTGCACACTTTTATCATTTGTTCCTGCTACTACTTGCCTTGGTATACTGCTTCAAAAAGTGGATTATCTTATATATTTTATGAACGGTTCTTTTATGGGACATTTTACTATTCATCTAACTTTTTATACTCACTGTTATCACTTAGCGCTGCACTTTATTTTTTATTTATTATCTTACGAGGTTTTGCTGTGATTACCTTGAGTGCATTGGCTGCTGATTTTAGAGGGCTCGCCAAGTTGAGTGCACGTGCTCAGCATCATATCCGGAGGTTGTCTTTGGGAAATAGATGTATGAGTGCTGCCAGCATTGCTGCAAAGGTTGAAGGGGTGAGGGGTCAGCCTGTCAGTGTTCAGACCATATGCCACACAATTTAATCAAATTGGTCTGCATGGCTGTCGTCCCAGAAGGAAGTCTCTTTTAAAGATGATGCACAAGAAAGCCCGCAAACAGTTTGCTGAAGACAAGCAGACTAAGGACATGGATTACTGGAACCATGTCCTGTGGTGTGATGAGACCAAGATAAACTTATTTGGTTCAGATGGTGTCAAGCGTGTGTGGCGGCAACCAGGTGAAGAGTACAAAGACAAGTGTGTCTTGCCTACAGTCAAACATGGTGGAGGGAGTGTCATGGTTTGGGACTGCATGAGTGCGGCTTGCATTAGAGAGCTCCAGTTCATTTAGGGAACCATGAATGCCAACATGTACTATGACATACTAAAGCAGAGCATGATCCCCTCCCTTCGGAGACTGGGCCACAGGACAATATTCCAACATGACAATGATCCCAAACACACCTCCAAGATGACCACTGCCTTGCTAAAGAAGCTGAGGGTAAAGGTGATGGGACTGACCAAGCATGGCTCCAGACCTAAACCCTATTGAGCATCTGTGGGGCATCCTCAAATGGAAGGTGGAGAAGCGCAAGGTCTCTAACATCCACCAGCTCCATGATGTCGTCATGGAGGAGTGGAAGAGGACTCCAGAGGCAACCTGTGAAGCTCTGGTGAACTCCATACCCAAGAGGGTTAAGGCAGTGCTGGAAAATAATGGTGGCCACACAAAATATTGACACTTTGGGCCCAATTTGGACATTTGCACTTAGGGGTGTACTCCCTTTTGTTGCCAGCGGTTTAGACATTAATGGCTGTGTGTTGAGTTATTTTGAGGGGACAGCAAATTTACACTGTTATACAAGCTGTACACTCACTACTTTACATTGTAGCAAAGTGTCATTTCTTCAGTGTTGTCACATGAAAAGATAGAATAAAATATTAACAAAAATGTGAGGGGTGTAATCACTTCTGTGAGATACTGTATATATTGCTATTCGTAGCTAAATAAATAGCTTAACAGTATTACACTATCAGTGTCCTTTCTGCTTCCCTCTATTATGTGCATGATGATTAATGGAATGTATTGATGGATTGCACCTATACATCATAACCATGGGTCTGGCACTCTAATGAATCCTGGATATATCTGTGAGTACATTCCACCAGAAATAAGCGTTTCTGACTCTTAAGCCCACAAAGCTTGGAGTCCATCATATCTGGTGAGTGTGGAGTGCACAGGGGAGGGATCACTGAGCACTACGTGGTAGAAATTTTGTTTCAAGGCACGGGATATTCATTGTTTTGGACTTTTTTCTTCTGAGCGAGTGTTTTATTTATTGGAGCACTCAAGCATGCAACATTTAATGTTATTGACTTTAATTATTTATGTATTTGATTAAATTTTGGTGCTGTGTTTTTATTACTATATATTATGTGTTAGTGTTATTGCTCTTTCTGAATAGCAGCATTGTTTTAGCAGATTTAGAAAGCGACTGATTTTATTTTTTGTCACATATTGTTCAACACATAGGAGCGTGGGTTATTTATTGTTTCAGATACTTACCAAGCTGCACCAATGTAACTATGTAAAAAAAAAGCCATACCTATGCATCAGATTTACCAAAAGGGTTAAAAAAAGGTGAGGAGAAAATAATGAGTACAATGTATGTAGAGGGCTTCCAGGGTGATGTCACATATGCCATCCTGAGGATGTTGCTTGGTGAGGAAACGAATTTAGTAGGTGAGACTTATGACATCATCACATTAAGGAAAGATCTGTATACCTCTCCCTAGACCAGGAGAGAGAACAGGCTTGGCTTTACCAGCTACACACATGGTCTTAGAACTACACAATGTGAGTTTTAATGCTGTTTTAATACATTTTTTTACACTATGCATTTTTATCTTACCTTTCATATGCTTCATTCATCCATCCCAATGGTGGGGAGAGGAGAATAAACAGGGTGTCCATAACCACTTCCCGTCCGGCCCATGTACATAAACGGGCAGACGGGAGCAGTGCTGAAGCGGGTCGCCGTTTATAAACGGACTCCGCATGCACTGCCTGTGCACGCTCCCAGGGATCCGCTGTGTCCAGAGGACTGATCGCTGTACGGGACCTCTGTGTGAGGTCCCGATCATGTGATCACTGACTGGCCAATCAGTGTTCACATGAATATTAGTAAACAGGATGTCACTTACTGACATCATTGCTTACTACTTGTGAAATCTGTGAATGATCACAGAGGTCACATGGTTCAAGGCTATTCACAACAGCCTTGTACCATGTGACAAGCTGTGGCCAATCACAGCTCTCACAATATTTCTCAATGGCTGCAGGAATGCAGCCAGAGAGAAGGAGAAATTGTTGCTTTTACAGTTTTTGGGGGTATAAAAGCAATCAGTGTAAAAAAAGAACAAAAAACGTCATCACCCCCCACAAGTAGTACAGTGTCACTATGTTGACACTGTACTGCTAGGGTGACAATATGTTAAAAAAAAACAAATAATAATATACAATAAAATTGTAAAAAAAAAATATGAAAAATTATAATTTTGGTTATAAAACTAATTTGGGCTATTTTTTTTTAACTAAAAAGATAGCTGAATACATTTTGGCCAAGATTTATGAAGAAAGATTATTTATTTGCAAAATTTTAGAAAAACACTTTTTTTTTCAAAATGTTTGGACTTTCATTTATACAGCAAAGAAATAAAAATCCCAGTGGTGAAACATACCACCAAAATAAAGTTGTATCTTTTAAAAAAAATGCTAAAAAATTCATACGGGTACAGTGTTGCATGACCGCGCAATTGTCATTCAAAGTGTGATAGCACTGAAAGCTGACAATTGGCCTGGACAGGAAGGGGGTGAAAGTGTCCGGACTTGAAGTGGTTAAAGGTGAAATACTAGATACATATCCTCAAAAACTATTTTGAATTTAGGTCACTTATAGCTGATGAGTATGCCTGTGAAAGAGTTGGCATAGAGGTGGAGTACAGCGGTGGACTGAAGAGATCTGGCATGCATTTATTAAAGGAGAAGCATGGCCAAAGCTTTTTTGGTCAAACTTCTCTTGTGGGTCACAGGAATGCACTTACTTGCGCTCTCCTGTGTTACAGAATCAGCCGACAAAAGCTCGCTGTTGGCTGATGTCACAGAGCTGCTGTAGACTCTGGAAGAATCTTGACGATATTGTCGGGATCCACCCAGCTGCCTGATTGACAACTGGCTCCGATTCTCAGTGCACAGCTGATAACTGAAGCCAGCTCCACCCGCCTCCTTTCTAGTGCGGCGTTCCAGTGTGTGCTGGAAGGGCATAATGGAGAGCGATGATTGACAGTCACTGATCTCTGCTTTGAGAAGACTGAGATATGAGCGATCAGCAATCACATGATCGCTCAGTTCTTGGTCTTAGAACCGGTTGGAGACAACTGCAGGCAACATTCTCAAATTTTATACTATGTAGCACCAGTGTTTAAACAGAATGACAGGCCTTAAGTAATTCCGTATAAAAAATACAGCCTAGTGTAAGCCTGGTAATTTGTAGTGAGACAAACCGTGCAGGCATTTTAAGGGGTGCAGTTACTGTGATAAACCATTCAGCCTCTACAATGCTAGCAGCATAGCAAAGTCAGTATAACACGTCCTGTAATTAGTAGTATAAGGGCTCATGTACACAGGGTGTTTGGAAAACTCTTCTGAATGATGGAAACTAACTGCTGGAAAACGTAGGTTAAAAAACGTCAGTTTAGCTGCGTTCGCATATCGCGTTTATGTGCGTTTGCATTTAGAAGTGTTTTTAAAAGGTAACCTCAGGAGACCCTTCCAAATGCCCAGAATGCACTGAAAAATAGTAAAAATTTAACTATTTCATTAATTTTGAGAGGAATAGAGAGAGCAGAAGCAGAGAGAGCAGTATGTGTTGAGATGACCTGTCTTTTCTGGTTGTATTCACTATGGATCCCATCATGAGCATAATGCAGCACGTTCTACCATTTTTTCCTTCACACAAAACCTGGAGCTGACTGCGCTGGTGTACTAGGTCCATTTGAATACACGGAAAAACACTTTGCATGCATTTCTGATGATGAAAAAAGGCTCTGGACAACATCTGGACATGGAACAGTTAAAAAATGCTTATAAACGCAAGCGCTTATAAACGCGGTTAACCACGTTTACAAGCATTTAGACGTGTTTACAAGCGTTTGAAACGCCGGTAAAATCTACTTCTGAACGCACATTTGGTGCGTTCAAAAAAAGACTGTAAACTCAACTGCCTGTAAACGACTGTAAACGAAGATGTGTACATGGACACACAGGAAAACATTAGGGAGAATTCAGGGGCTGCTGAAAAAAACGCTGAACAGCTGCTACATGTGAGTTTATCAGCTGCAATGTACATGAACCCTAACACAGATATGACTGAGGCTGAGACCACACAGAAACCAAATCTTTCTTCTATGCAGATTACACTTTCCAGTTTGCAGAGTAACGTTTTGCCTTATGAAGTTGTCTCATCTTTACCTGCAAAACAATTTTGGGCTCCATGCACACTAGCATTTTTTAAGCTCCTAAAAGCTATTATCAGCATTTTGTTCTGCTCCTAGAAGCTAAATAGTGTTCTCCTATGTGTCCATGCACACTACTTTAAGCTATTAGCATTTTTTGAGCTTCAGCATCTAGGAGCAAAAAAAAAATAGTTTTTGTAGAGTTTTTTGGAGCGTTTTTCTAGCAGAACACTCTGAAACTCTGCTAAACCCTACTAAAATGCTACTAACAGCTTTGTTCTAGTTTTTAAACACAGTGAAACGCTAACACTCCTAAACGTTCCTGAACGCTACTAAATGCTACTAAAAACTACAATTGCAAGCATTTTTAGCCAGCGTTTTTTTTGAACTTAAAAAATGCTAGTGTGCATAGAGCCTTAGCTTAAAAATATTCTTAGGTGGTCTTTCATGAACTGCATGTTTTAGATTTACTCACAGAATTTTTTAAATTATATATATAGCCAAAAATGTTTTTGTTTTGTTTTGGATATAAACGTAAATGGTTAAAACATCTGCCAGTTTATTTTTGTCATTGGGGAAGTTCCACTTACTGTTCAAGGGACAGGACAGGAAGTTGGTGGAAATCTCATGAAGTAAATTCCCTTCTTAACACCTTCTGGCCCAGCTTATAGCAGATTGACAGCCAGGTGGGACACTCCTCATTCTGAATGGGCGTCATATGACATCTGAAGGTGCAGCTCACGCGGCCCTGGGGCCGTGCAGCGGCGCGATCTATCACTGGCTGTGTCCATGGGACAGATCACTACACTGGCCCGTTGCCAGTGTCATGTCACCACTGTGACCAATCACAGCAGATCACATAAAAATTGTATACAATGGATGGCCTCCTTTCATGCCATCCATTGTATGCAATTGTGTTGTTAGCTGTGATTGGTCAAAGCAGTCACATGGTACAGATAGTGCCAATCACAACCCATCTGTATCATGTGATGAGCTTTGCCCAATCACAGCTAATCACAATAAAAGACTGAATGAATCAGTTTCATTCAGTAACAATGGTTGCAAATATCAATTAAATACATTGGTATTAGTAATCATAATGTGTTCTAAAAAAAAAAAAAAATCACCAGTCAGTGTCCCTAATCACCACCACACCAGTTATATAATAACGCTGTACTGTATTGGTGACAATATGTAAAAAAAAATAAAAAATTTGATTTTTTTTTTTAATTACTTCATTTTCCAAAAATTGTAACAAAAAATTGCAACTAACTATGCCTCTTAATAAATACCTTGGACTTCCTATTTTCTAAAAATGGGTATGGGGGTATTTGTACTATCCTGGCGTTTTCAGGCCTCAAAAAATGAGATAGTCCGTCAGTACATCAGGATTGATTGTCTGATACTGTATATATATATCATGGTTTGTGGACTCTCTAACTTTCCTACAGACTAAATAATATACACTAATTTGGGGTGTTTTCACCAAAGACATGTAGCAGAATACATTTTGACCTAAATTTATGAAGAAAGGTTATTTATTTGCAAAATTTTATAACAGAAACGAAGAAAAACACATTTTTTTCAAAAGTTTCAGGTTTTTTTGCAAAAAAATAAAAAAACTCAGTGGTGATTAAATACCACCAAAAGAAAGCTCTATTTGTATGGAAAAAAAAAATTGTTTAAGGGTACAATGTTGCATGACCGCACAATTGTCATTCTAAATGCGACAACACTGAAAGCTGAAAATTGGCCTCGTCAGGAAGGGAGTAAAAATGCTTGGTATTGAAGTGGTTAAGCAGTTGCCCCTGAAACAGGTGACCACATTGGAAGATTTTCTTTTATCTCTTGTAATGACAACTCTGAAATATTGGCTTTCCTCTTTCTTTCTTGGTGACCAATGGTTACCAGTGCAGATAGGTTCATGAATCTCCCCAATGGGGACACAGATTGCAATACAAAATAAGACAGAGTATCTAACCCTTCATCACTTTATCCAACATTTAAAGAAACACAGATTTGCCTACACTTTAATATTCAGTTTGTGAAAACTGATCAAACCCCTAATCTTTTTTTTTCTTCAAGTACAGTATGTGATTCTTGTTTATGAGGTATGCTTCATATCATTGTCCTTTAGATTTGTTTGTACATGCTAATCCTACCCCTTCCTGTCTGGAATAATGCCTCAATGGCCAGATAAAGAAAAGCTAAAGGGCCACATCTGGCCCCAGGCCAAAGCATGCATTGGTATCTGTGAAGAACCCCTAAGATGTCTCTAAGCCCTGGTTCATACCAGTGCGACTTGCCATGCAATTTGACAGTTTCAAATCGCATGATAAGTCGCACAGATGTCAGCAAAGTCAAACCTGAAATCGCACTGACATGCGACTTTGAAATTGTGCGACTTCAAGTGAAGTCACACAATTTCAGTCGGATCCAGTGTGAACCAGGGATAAGATAGGCAGCCAGTAGGCTGGCTTAAAGAAGACATTCATACAATATTTGAGGTACAGGCATACAGGCATATTTACAGTTAAACAAATACCATTTATTATTTCATCCACAGGTCCCAACAGTTACTAAATGACTAAAACCTTTCACTTGATTTACTTTTTAAACAATGTATAATGTATTTATTGTACTTACGTTTACCATGTACCATTACCATGCCTGTAGATCAAAAAAGGTTAGCAGTGGATAACATACAGTAGGCTGCACAAACTGTGTTATTTTGTCCCGGGCAAGTTAGGAAAAGGAAATATAAACAAGATTGTGCTTCAAGTGGTACTCCAGAACAATGATCTCCAAACTTTCTAAACAAAGGGTCAGTTTACTGTCCACCAGACTTTGGGGGGGGGGGCAGACTGTGCCTAGTAGGAGTAAACAATGCCCTCTCTTTAGTATTAGGGGAAGGAATAGTGCCCCATTGTTGATGTCAATGGCAAGAATTATGCCCTGTTGTTGGTGTCAGTGGCAAGAATTGTGCCCTGTTGTTGGTGTCAGTGGCAAGAATTGTGCCCTGTTGTTGGTGTCAGTGGCAGGAATAATGTCTCAATGGCCAGATAAAGAAAAGCTAAAGGGCCACGTCCGGCCCTGGCCCACAGTTCGGAGACCATGGCTCCAGACAAAAAAAAGAAACAATCTAAGATAAGCTAAGAGGAAAAAACGAATGTACTGTACAACCAAGTTTAGATTTACCAAACCATGTCATGTGAGGACCTAATGTGGTTGTAAACCTCAAACATGAAATATGAACAAAGCATATCCCTCTATAGTGTGTACTTGTCTCCCACAAGAGCACTAAGTGTCATTACTGCCTGCTGCTTCGTTCCTCTTCTATCATCATTAATCACTTCAATTCAATTTGCTGACGAGTCACTGACAGGTTTTCCTGACACCAAGAAAAAAAAAGGTGACAGGGGAGCGACCTCCAGCAGTCTGACAGCCTCATCTCTAATCCTTTGTTCTGTGTTGAGGGGGGTGTGTCTCTTTCCATCCAATCAGCTCTTAGAGCTCTCCTCACTGAGCTGTGAAGAGTGTAATTTCAGCTCTCACCCCCTTTTTTTCTGAAATCTCAGACAAGCTTTATAAAGTTTGGACTTCGAAGGGATGTAGAGAAGAGAAGACTGCAGATTAGCAGTAACAACTTATGTAGGAGGATTTGTTTCATCTCTGTGTATCGCCTGGGGCCAGTCATTTCTCTGGGTATATGTAGTTTTCAACCATTTTAACTAAACAATTCATTCAGTCCATATGCAATGAGGCAAATTGTACTCTCTTGATTAATATGTATGATCAGCCTAAAGGAACTAAATGGAAATAATTGTAGAACTATGGAAAACTATACAACTGTTAAAAAGATTAATGTTTTCAGTGATAGACTAAAAAAAAAAAAAATGATGACAGAGACAGGAGCTTTGAGTCAAACAAAAGAAGATAGATAAGAAATAAAGGGTCAACCAGGAGAAATGTTCCTTTTGAACACCAAATCATTTACAAAGAAACCTAAAAATATCCATTTACTTTTGCACATGATTGGATGTTTCAAGTGGATGTAGCTTTACTAAACTATGTGAAAAATGTAGTTAGGATGTATGTAAAGAATGCCATGTTTACACTTAACAGGGAATGTGATCTCAGTTATTAAAGCAAAGGATACGAATACACAGAGGTAAAGGTTAATTTTTGCAAGGCTCCATGGTATCCCTTAAAATAAATTACGTGGTTTTAATGTTTTAGGCTCGGTTATGCATTGCATCATGCGTGTTACCGCATATCAAAATGTGTATTACCTGGCATTCCATTTTTTTCACAGTACATATGAATTGGGGTATGTCAAGTAAAATAGTTCAGATGTGTTTTTTTTTTCAACAAGGAACCCCTGGAATCAAAAGGAGCGCATGAACTTGCATGATGCATGTATTTTCATGCGCTGTCAATGTATGGTTACTGAGACCCATCCCTAACCACAGGCCATGCTCTTCTGGCTTAGCTGCATTGGAAAAATGACAGGATCTTCTCACACCACCCTAATTGCTGAGTATCTAGTTTGAAAAAAAAAGTGCACAATTTATTATTCTTATTTATTTACTACTGGTACTTATATAGTGCTGACAATTTATGCTGGGCTTTGCATATATATTATACATTCACACTAGTCCCTGTCCTCAAGGAGCTTACAATCTAAGGCATGCACACTGGGCTTAGAAAAAAAAAAACCCCAGTTCCCTTGGCAGAAACAAATGCTGATATAGAGTGTTTTTGTACACAGTTTAGAGGAGTTTATCATTTTTTCTACCAGAATGCTCCAATCAAAAACGCAAACCAGAAGGATTTTTTTTTTCCTGCCACTACACGTTGAGCTTAAAATATGCCTCTAATTGTCCTAATGTGCAAGGACCCATAGGATAACACTGAGCTGCTTCTACAGGCAAAACACAAAACTCCCATAGAAGCAGTGATTTGTAAGCCAGCGGGAATGGAGCCTAAGGTCCCTAACTCACATTCATACATACACACACTAGGGCCAATTTAGACAGGAGCCAATTACCTACCAGCATGTCTTTGGAACGTTGGAGGAAACTGGAGTATCCAGAGGAAACCCATGCAGGCACAGGAAGAACATGCAAACTCCAGACAGGCAGTTCCATGGTTGGGATTCAAACTGATGACCCTAGTACTGCCTAGCGGAAGAGCTAACCACAATAACAATGAACATAAATTCTTAAAAGCACACTTTGAAACCTGCAGGTAAAAACACTGAAGATATATATCATTGTTTTGCTTTGTACTTTATGAAGGTTAATTCACAAGCTTTCTCTGGTTTGTAAAAAAAAAAGGTTTCACTAACAATTCTATCTGTATTTAACAAACAAAATGCATGCATTTTCAGGTGGGAATTGTACCCAGTGCCCAAGTGCTACTCACTGCCATTGTACGACCCTGTGTGTAAATAATAATAATATTAATACCAATAACAACAATATACTTACTATTTGTATTTATATGTTTTAAGAATATATTTGAGCTTCCAAATATTAGTAGTGATGTATTAGTGAATGTTATCACCTAATGAGGAGTAGCAAAAATGTAAAAGAATAAAAATAGGTGGCTTGACATCCATCATACTTAAATGATTGTCCAAACATATTGGATTATTACCACAAATGAAAAATAAAACAGTGCACACTAATAATGTAATGTTTGCTCCTCCATTAACTTAAATTTGTTCGCTCACTGCCATAAATACTGATCTGTTGTTAAATATTTGTCTGAACCAGTTGGCTATTCTTATCCTCTGAAGACTATTTTTAATTAAACCATTTCTTTGTCCCACATATTTAATCTGTTCTCTGGCATTTTATATACATGAGACCTTGCTCTAAAAGGTCAAACAATACAGTTATAAACAGAAAGAGATTAAAAGACCTCTCAAGCTATCATGAGATCTATGGAAAGCCATATACAAGTTGTGGTTTGCAGGCATGTGGCTTTGAATGCAAATGAATGTCTTCTAATGAAT